GAGGTTGTGGTTAAAGAGATATGATGGGAATACTATTGGGGATTACTGCGCTTATGACATGGATTGGTATGTCTATCGAGGCCCGGGTTGCGCTCCTAGTCTACCAGCTTATAGTTGTTTCTCTGATGTTCACGTCAGATCGTAGTAGTTAAGAAGCCGTTTCTGTTGATCTCGCGATCGACCTTGTTTGAACAATACTATGTGCGACGTTTTCATATCTTATTAATGGGTGGTGACTTGCTGGACAAGAAGCGCTGAATCCTCCATAGCCTGATCGAAAAGCACATTGTGTGGTAGCGCTCCGTCGTTATATTCAGCCTAAATGTTATAGGACAAGGTCCATCGATCAAGCCCGAGACTCACTACAATTCCGCAGTTGGTGGTACCATGGTTGCATAAGCTTCACTATATCTTGTGCCTGATAATTCACTGTGGAGGTAGTTTTCCACATTAATTCTGCATCTGTCAAGAGTGACGTCGAGGTGAATAAAGATAGACCAGTATGGCCCAAAATATGAGCGATTATTTAGCGCTTCTCGTTGCATTTTCAATAGGATCACCGGAAAGACTGTATAGCTCTGGGAACTTGGTTTCATCTAATAGTTATACACTTGGTTTGTCCACTCAAAGCATTCCCATTGGTTGACAAGTGGTACGGGTGCATAAAGTCTGATTTTACCAGAGTTGCCTAGGTAAAATCCGGAATTTAAACTTTATCCACAGGTTTGTGAGACAGGGTAGAGGGCCGTGTGATGGGGTCATTGACACAGGACAACCTTGTGCTGAAGACTATACACAAGAACCACAGGGCCATACCTCGTCTCACAACCCCATTCAATGACCTCATACCCTATTGTCATGGCCGCAAGCGGCCGAATACATGATTACAAACAAAACCTCATACCCTATCCTACAACCTACAGATAAAATCTCATTTTAAGAGTGGTAACTAGACAAAGTTAAAAATTCGGACTTTGTCCACGGACACGGGGTACGGGGTTGTGCGACAGGGTATTTTGGCGGAAAAAAGGCACTATATTAGACAATATAAAGTAGATATAACATTAAAGCCCGCCTGAACAAGAAGGAGGTACATAATTGCACCCATTAAGCTTAAGCGTTGCTCTAGTAGTTTCATTGACCTTCCGAATGCGAGTACGAGGGCGAGTACATACGAAAGAAAACATGGATTTAACTCTAGTATTTTTGTGCGTAAGCAACCACCAAATGTATTCATGAGAACTATCATCTCGCCACGACTTTAGCACACGTTATCGATTAGATACTCACCCTCTGCGACATACCAATTTACGATGACTACTCATCAAAGTTACAATGACTACTAAGTACTTACACATCAACCCCACATTCCAATATATATACCAGCCTGTCTGTAGCGTCTCAGCCGCGATTGAATAACATTTCTCGTATACTTGAAAACATCAATAATACATAACAATTCTTGAATGGATATATTTAAACTCTAAAGGTGCTAATCCATTAATAATAAAAACAAAAAGAAGCAATATCTGCACTGCTACACTGATTCCAATTATCACGACCTCTGGCCAATTTCAACACCCCGCGCCTCCAAAGCATACCCATCCACAAAATCTAAAGGGATAAAGAAATAGCGTCATCCGGAATGGGGCCGAGGGGCGGTAGTGGCTGTGAATGTCGCCCAACCACACCAGGTCGTCAACCGCGACACCACGATATATTTGTCTCAAGCAGAAGATCCGGTGATTTCCATTTACCAATCACCATTGACAGTCGGTGGGGTCGAATAATTCTTCAGTAACTGGTCAACGGCTCTTGACCACTCTCGATTGAGGATATTTGCCAACTCGGCGGCATGAATGGGATTCGGAACGACGCCGCCCCACATCGAGGGCTGGTTTGCGGTTCTCACAGCGTACTGGGGAATCATTTGACTATTTCTATATTAGTACGTGCCGTGAGTTTTTGGGGAGGGGAATACTTACTCCGTCTTCATCTTTGCCAGAAGTAACCATGCAAGGTTCCAAGACCTGCAGCTCTTTGGGTCACTGTAAACCCGCGCTTTGGCGTCTTCCACTAGCTCGGTGCTGAACGGATACTGTCTGGTGAGCCCGCGAAGCTCCTGAAGGAAATTCGTGCTGACGTAGTAGCCCCAAGCATCCGTCATTTCGTCTATGTACTCCGACCCGGGAAGAGAGGCCAGAACACGCTCGATACGGCGAAGCTCAGTGAGGGTATTGACACGGCGGTGTCTCAACGTTTGGCGCATCTGGTTGATCTCCGTGATAGATACGATTTGGCGAGGGCTGATGTGGTGGTGGCTGTAGGAATACTCGCTGGGGCTGGAGTAGGAAGACATTGCGGTAGTGGTATCGAAGCTTTGGTTTTCGGTGGCTTGAAGGTGTGTCTGGTTGAAGTATTCGGTTTGAGCTTCGATAACGGGGTGCAATCGAAGCTGTGGGGTCGAAGACGCAGAGGATGTAGTTGGAATAGAGCGATATTGCGCCGGTTGCTGGTTGTCTGGGCTGTTGGATGGATTTAGATTCGAACGAAACATACTATCCTTATATCTTTATGTCCTGATAGTAATGAAAGATTCCTAGCTGAAGAAGCCGCAATGTCTTACTGTCAGGAACTGAGGGCTAAGCTGCACTAACGTTTTTCCGTTGATACTGTAGGAAGTACCAATAATCCGGTAGAAGCAGTATTTTAAACTCTGTACCCCAAAAAGAAGCATCAGCCTCAGCCCGTATGGCCGAGTGATGGTGTAGTCATATTGCACGCCAAGCCAGGGGTTTCTCCCAGATGCGCTCAAGTGAATGAGTTAGATGAAGATAGCCTCGTTGCCTAATTGATTTGACATCGTCGGAGGTCAAATTGAAGGTGTCTGATTAAGACGGACTCCGCAAGTGAGCTCCCAATCTATAAAACTGGCTTCTATGTCAGCCATCTTCATTGGAACCAATGATTGCGTTGGGCTTTCATCAGGCCCCGCCAGCTAGCTAGGGTACCAGTAAGCGATCTGCAAGATCGATCCAAAGGTTGCATCTTCTTTGTCAGACGAAAATAAACATTCTCAGTTCTGTGTAGGATGGATAGCTATCAGAAGGCGTGTCAACAAATGTTGGCCAGCCACTGTTGAACGTGGTTATGAGTGGGACAAGTATAACTGTATAAGCCACACGCAAAACCACGGGTCTCAAAATGGCGATAAATCGATGCTAACAAATCAAAAGCAGAGTCTGGAATGTCCGCTAATTACCCCAAATAGTATCAATTAACAATCAATGTTGGTGGCTGTTGTGGCTATGCAGCCTCGTGTAACAAAAAGCAACTTCTCGTCTTGGCTACGCTGGTAATACAAGAGGAAAACTTTCCGATAAGAGTGGGATGGGAATTTGTTTCTTTCCATACATAGAGTATATCACCCTGTAGACTCTGAAACAATCAAATTTTCAACACAGTAGGAGGAGTGGACGCAAGTGAGAGTACAAGCGGTCGTCGTTATTGTTAGTCCCTGAGGAGCGCACCAAGCGCCGGTGTGTGTATCGATGACAACTAGTTCGTAGAGATTCACTGCACCTACGCAAAATCTACCAGATATCAACTGCTCTAATATTTCCCTCTATACTAGATATGACCGAGTGGAAACCCTACCGCACTTAATGTAAGCGGGTTGCCGTGGTCATGCTTACTCCATTGCATATACTGGAGCGGCAATTGAGTTTTGTTCCATCGGGCACATTCCTGATCACTAGGATACCTCCGGAGTGTATTGTGTTCAACTACCGATACAATGTTAGTGTAGCGGAGAGTAGTGTTACTAACTTCTACATAATCATCGTATGATTGATGTATGCGCTCGATATCAACCCACCAAGCAAGGCTTAAGACACATTGCATCGTTTCACTTACTTACAGCGGAAAGCCACACGACAAGTCTCTTACACATGTGCTTGTCACAGCTAGAATACTTGCAAAGGAATTTTCATATTTCCCCAAGTCGAATGGGCGGTTACAAACATTTTACCTACAACTGGATGATAGGATTATTTGATGTGTTCGAACGTTCTGATCTTAGGTGCATTAATTATACTGTGCCGTGACAAAGCGTCAATCAGATCAGATATTAGGCGATCATTGTTAGTTACCAATATGCGCTGTGGATGCTTGTTTTATAAAATAAAAATCACAGTACTCAGCTACTTTCGAAATTTCTGTGGTTATGTGCGTCGCCTCACGATAGGTTATGACGCACGTGATTCAGGGTTAGGACTGCATTTGTGAAATCCGCCTGAATCTCATCAAAAAGCAAGTGTGAATGGAAATCACCACAGGTTATAGCAACATAAGCACAGTGGATTACTCACCCCGCAGTAATGGAGCCTTCCTCGATGAATTTTGTATATAATCGTGTCATCTGCAATATTTGCACCCCGAACATTGAAGTTACAGAGAGCGATGACTTATTAGTCACTGAGCACAGTACAATATCAATCACTCTTACGGTATTTCAGAATATAACTAGTGGTGCGGAGTGATGGAGGTAAGTATTGGAGTTCTGAGAGTAGCGGGCCCAGCACGACCTACAATACCAAGTACTATTTATTGCCAAGCTGATGTTTTTGTGCTTTTCATCGTCGGAAAAGGGATGACAGCCAAAATACTCCGGAAAGAAGAACAAAACAGACCACACGGCCAGAGATATCAACAATGTAGTGAAAGTGAAGGGAGCTTTCTGGTACCAATGTTATGCTTTTGTAATCACCGGCAAGAACGACTGCATTCATAACCAGACGTTAATTGGTAAATCAATCAATCTCATTCTGATCTTCAGCCTATGGAAACAAAAAACATAGCAAATATTCCACATATAAGAGCTCGTGCACCACCCATACATGGCCCTGATATTGATTAACTGCTAATAGGAAATAGATACTGAAGAATAGATGAAAATATACAGCACTAAGTGTTGGAACATGTCAATTGACACTCATCAAGGGCCAGTAGCTCAGTCAGTAGAGCATCCGTATAGTATAGGAAGGCCCTAGGTTTGACTCCTAGCCAGTCCATTCTTTTCCGTGGCTCAACACTAAGAAGGAGTGTATAAGGCATTCAACCTGCCGTTATATTTTCCCAGAAAGTGTGTACATAGTCTCGCCCCAAATGTGGCTGACTCGCTTTTCGTTGACGGTGGCGTAGCTCCTATTGAAACTCACCACACCAATATAGAGAGATTCTTCCCCATTCGTGACGAGACTGGCGGGATCCAATTCAACAAAGTCATTCTAAAACATATCAGCCGCGGTACGACCATCAACTGTGCATAGGATTATGTACCCTCAAGACTTTCCATGACAGATGTTGCTCAAGATACTTCGAAACGCCATCAGCATCATGCAGTGTTGTGCCACCTTCAAGTTTGTTGGCTAGTGGTGCGGTAATGTGAATTCCACCGCATGTGATAGCCCCGTTGTGCTCCTGCCCAGCGCAGTTTCCACATTGGTCTGTCCGGGACTTGAAAGTATGGAATTTTCCCACAAGGTTTTTGCTAGTGCTCCATTCGTCCACATCGGTTTCCCCTAGCCTAGGAAGAAGAATACATTAAAGTTACCCTGGACGAAGAACTTCCCTACCCTAATGATGATTATTCACTCTCGCTTATAAATCGCACTCGCGCTCAAATCTAGGCCTACAGTTACATCAGTTAGTGTTTAATATTGGGAAATTAAGGAAATCTCACTGTCTGGAATGTGTGCTCGATGGATGGGGCGGAATGTTTTATCTGCATCCGGTGGTGGGGCTCTTGGATCAACGGCTCCGTATAGATGATACGCCTCATTCAATACATGAGCGCTCTGCTGCGCCTCGTTGAGAGTTAGGACCAATTCCGGGTAGTAGTAATTGTAGGTGAAACATCTGAGAGCCATTATTAGTACACCAAACGGCATGTCGAAATGTTTACTCACGTTGGATTTTCATTGCCGGACTTTTGCACCATGCTGCTCGTTCAGATCATTGTTAGGCTATTGTAGAATGGCCGCAGCGTTGTGTCCACCGTGTCAATCATCGAAGTCTGAGGTAGTCGGGTTGGTTCCGTGCCCTGTTGTTCGAAATCTGTTTCGTAATTGATCGCTTACCATAGAGCATACATGCGGTCAAAATTGGCGTGATTGTTCAAGGGTACATCATGGCACAATGTTAATCTAGAAATATCGATGTGGAGTGCTTTGAAACGCACTGCAGCCTGTATTCAGTTAGACTACTGACAACGTGACCCGTGAAACTCCTGAGTAATATTTACATACCAAAATATTGGATCAAATGCTGAAACTGGCACTTCTGTCATATGGCCCTCTTGTCTTTCGGCGTACAACAGTCTTGCATCTTTCTGAGGTCGGTTCCGACTAGATCTTGAATGTGTGTAAGCTGCTCATTAAATTACACAACGGTAAAAGGGATAGTATACTGTGAATCGTGTTATGACAGCTCTTTAGCGAGAGGAACTCTGTTTCCCCTCTAGTCTTATGCCACCCAGTATTTCCGAATGATCCATAACTCAGGTTTGTGTTACTCAGCAAGTGAAATATAGCATCGTGAAGGCTGACACCGTCGGAATCCAAAACAGTTGCAACCTTTAGCTGTTCATCAGCTACTTCCGGACGACTTTTATAGTTGAGATCAGGGCAGCGTTTCGTCGTATCTTCCGCAACAAACTGGAAAATAGTCAATAATCAACATCGTTAAAAGAAATGTACAATAAATTACCTCTGGATACCCAGTGATGGAGAAATCTCTGACACATCGTTCATATGATTGAAATTGATATAAATTTAAAGGGTTTCAGATCGTTGCTTTTACGGGTTGACTGTTGGTCGGGGTAGGCAAGCAGGTGTCAACTTCCTTACCTAACACTGCATGTGGAAGTGTCGCATCTGTGGCCCAGTCCCAGTACCTGAAGCGGTTAATTGGTCAGAACATTGGTGATATGTATTCTGTTCAGCGTCTGGTTTGGACTAACGGAATTCGGATCTTCGACGCTTCATCAATGTAGTTTTGCCTGACATCCCCGGATAATCTTTTACCACAAGCAAAGCCTCTTTCACTATGCATTACTACTTGGTGTTAGATTTCGGAACGCCAAGTGATTGATGAGATCATGGAAACTAACCTCTAGGAGTAGAAGATAAGGGCGATGCCAGGTAAGGAACAGCGCACTATAAGGTTAGGATTGTCATGCTTACGGATAGGATAGCGTCAAGTACATCTCATGGGTACAGTAGTCTCCAGGTCTATCCTCTAGATCAACTTTTTCCATCCAGTGAATGTACGGCGCACCATGGATTCCTTTCGAATGTCAGCCGCCTGCGAATTGAGTGGACTGATAGGCAGAATTACCAGTGATTTGGTAGTACCCGAGGGGAACTTCTGAGCCTTCGCCATAAGCTTCGAGCCGCCCAAGCCCTACCAGGTATAGGTTAATCGAGTCGCGAGTTCCGGAGCTGTCGAAAATAGATTGATATTGTAACGGATTTCAGGTTGCGACGACTGAATACCGGTGATGGGGTAGGGGTTCGGGAAAGTCATGTTGATGAACGTTGGCTTTAGCTTAGCAAGATACACAATTAATCTGAAGGATATCTTTAAGGATCAGTGCTTTGGAAGGTTATCAGCTGTAAAGCTTTCAAAATTACTGGAAATCTATCTTCCTCATATAGAAAGCGACTGCAACACAAATTCCAACGTTTGGTGTGGTTCAGCCCCCAGAGGGAAACATCAGAGATGTTCGTACATGAGGTTCCTAACGATCATCATCATAGCACTCTAGCTGACCGCATCTCTTGTGGTCGTATTTTGTTACGGCGGAAATCGCTCAGAATGTGCAGACATCAGCTGCAGATGCACCACTTCAGCCGCAAATGGATCACTTATTTCAGCTCCCAAGATTTCGACATGCCCGTCAGCCCTAACTTTAAATCAGCCCTACGCCGATGAAAGATGGATAAGTCGGATAATGGATATCCTACATGCATAGCGCAAGTTCATCATACCGTATTATTTGGGTGAACTCATAATTTTTTGTAGGGTGTGCAGCTTGCGTATCCAGCAGTTTCTATTTGCTACAAAGCTAAGGTTCTAGATATCTCAACTTGAAAGAATGGGCGAATATTTCTGCCCAAATGCATCCTGTACGGACCACAAAAATCTCAAGTTCAACCAAATAATCCGGTAGATGGACGATGGCGTCGACTGCATTGTAACCGATTGTGGGGAGAATTTTGATTTCACCTTGGCTACCGATGAGGCGATGCCTTGCATAACCCAGAATCAGCCTAGAACGTCAAGCACCCGTTGTTTCATGACTTCCGCTCAACCTCAGATAAACAGCTAGTGAACACCGTCGATCTATGGAAGAGGAAAATGTGCAATAAAACGTGGTAAAACAAGAACATGGCAGCCATGGCCTGAGGTTCCACGACTGCCTTGATGAATGGCACTTGCACTAAGTGATTGACGAATGGTCAATTGAGGCTGTTGAGGATAGTGATGATCAAGTGTGTGGGCGAGAGCTAACACAGAGGAGAGCATTCCAACAACTCCCTGAATTTGAGCGCATAAATATGAAGCGAAAATCCAGTTCAAACTCAGGCAATTAATTAATACCGCCCATCATGTGAAATATGGCATAGACTGGCTTTCTCTTTGGGCCGAGACGATGGATAACGTCAGACTACTAATTGTCGCAACTGTTGATTCAACGTTAAGCACAATTTACCTCGCACCACATATGCCACATGCCGAAACCAAGAAACAGATGCAAGTACGCCACTTTTTTTAATGCTTCCGCCTAGAGGGTGCACGAGAAAAAAACAAATACTTCTTGATGCTGAGTATTTCCCCGCACGGACAACATACAAACTTGCTCAGCCGCCGACTTCGTCTACGCAACGACTACCTAGAACATCCCTATGTCTCCGCAACCAATTGACCAGTCACAATTCGTTGGCTCGGGAGAGGACAGACTACCACAGGACAGATAGCCCACATCAATTCTCATGCAACATTAATCTTATCTGCCGCTTCTCTCCTGTTTGCTTGTCGGTCATGTCGTCCTCCGGATTTCTGATAATTTTATCCACCAGCTCCTCAATCCCGCCAGTTTGTATTCAGCTTTGTCTTGGCTCACATAACTCCTAGGCTAAGTTTTATCTGGCTGAGAGAATTTATCTCATGCCCAGTATCACATGTGAGTAGATTCCAGTTATTTCTACATTGGATTGATACAATTCGAGAGATTTTATCACAACTGGTCCCGGTGGAACAGAACATCCAGATGTCATGCGCATTGTTTCGTTTCGTTGAATCAATCCCTCCATTCCAGAACCGGTACTCCTCTTCGGCCGCTTTTGGACTCATCACGTCCCAGGTGGCTAGGTAGGGGATTCGGATGGTGAGGAAGTCACTCAAGCGAGTACCAGAGGAAGAGAGGGAGTTAGAAACAACGGTAGCCCCCTTTGTTTGGGTCCCGTTTATAACGTTAGGGTGTTGAGGTACTTTCAAATTTGGTGTGGCATGCCCTAGAGTTGATTTGGCGTCGTGACAAATGGCACGAAGAGGATGCTAACAATATTTCGTAAGGTTCTTCGTGAGGTTTTCGTGATGTATCTTGAGTGATCCTTGCATACGTATATTTCTGTGAGGTTTCGTGAGGTTTTAGTGTATTTCTACGAAAATCTCACGATAATTTCGTGTATTGACACTACGTTTCTTCACCCCATTTTGTGAGATGATGAGCGCCTGCAGTACACCAAGCACGTGTACTCAGGTGGGCAGCTGCAGCCTAAGTAACTTCGTTGTTTCACTCCATCACCATCAGCACCTGCACCATCACCATCACCACCTGCACCATCACCATCACCACCTGCACCATCCACCATAGCACCTGCAGATGCATGCACACACATGTACCCACACTGGCCCATTGACAAATTTTAGTGGAAACAAGTCTCTGTTCAATTCTAAGAGGCAAAAGTGCCAACCCCTCAACTTTATCTCTAGCTGTGAAGCTTTC